ATTGTTCTAGCAGTTTGTCTATATTTGTGGTCAAGTTATAAGGGTATTTTTTAAATAAAAAATATTTTATTCTCCAAAAGTATTTTCCATAACAAAATAGTAATATAAATATTAATTTATGAAAAAAATTAATTTATAAATCAATTTATATTAGTCTATAAATTAATATAAATATTAATAAAAAATTAATATTAATAGTAATTTATAAAAATAAGAAATAATATTAAATTAATAAAAATAATTTTTACAAAATAAAATTTGTTATAAATATTTGGGTAGTGTTATTGCCAAAACATAAATTAGCATCCAAAACAAATTATTATCTTTTTGACAAAATTATCCTTATATATGCAACTCAATAACCTTCTGTCTACATGCCTTTTTTTGTTTTTGTTTTTTTTTTTTTTTTTGTGAATTCCTATCACACGAAATTAAAATTTTGAGTACCAATTTTTTTCTCCCCCTCCAGAATCTAATACGAAAAGCAAAGAGCTCAAGTAAATTTATATTTCGACTTAAAAGAAAGTTATTTTGTGTTGTCTTCACTCCCATAAGCAACATTATATTATTAGGATGATCATTTTAATTGTTACTTTATGCTTTAGTTTTCAAAGAAGGTTGTAGACATCTAATAAAAAAATATTTGGATTATTTGGTCCTATATCAATGACATAATCGTGTGAAATTATACTTGAGGGTTTTGTTGAAGATAAAATCATCAATAAAAAAAAGATCAGAAAAGTTGCAAAGTGCAAACATATTTAAAATGGCACTTGCGGCAATCTTTTGTGCAATAAGATGGCTATTGGATAGTTTTCCTTGCCTTGAAATATGGTAGGAGCATATAGAAATTAAAAGTTATGAATTACGTTGTGTTATTATGAAAGCGTTCTTTTGTTATTTTTTATTGAGAGTTCATATATTGCAGTAAGAGTGTTTGAAATTTTATAATTTGCTAAAAAGGATATGAGAAAGTAGCTCGTCACTTTGTTGGAAGGAAGAAAGGGGTTGGAAAAAGAGCAAAGTGTGGAAATGTGGAGAAAGAGAGCAACCATTTGATTTGGAAGAGGGTTATTTTTGTCATAAAGATAATAATATGTTTTGGATGCTAATTTATGTTTTGGCAATATCAACATCCTAAATATTTAATGTGAATGTCCACAAGTCAGAAGAGTTATATAAAGAATCAACTGTTCAGAGATAATATTTAATTAGATATTATCATAGTTAGATATTATCATTATTTGATCTTATCATTGTATCTTTGCCTATAAAAGTAGATCAGTATTCACAGAATAATATGGATATAAATTCTCTCTTTCTCTTTCAACTTATTCTCTCCCTATTTGTTCTTCTTCTACAGTTTCATATCTTTACTTTTGTAAAAAAATTGATTTTTTTTTTCTTTACTTTTTTAGTCCATATTTTTTAACGTTAACCCGCCACTATGAAACTTTTTACTATATGATATTTACTCGAGTCAAACCAAGATACCAACTTTTTAACTCTAAAAATGGAGACTTCACCTCCATTTTTCATTTAACATAACCATAATCTACGCCGCGATAATGGCCGATAAAATGTACATCCAATAAGTTGAGATTCAATAAAAGTAGTGATTCAGCCAAACAAAATTTAGAGTTGACCTTTTTGTTGTGATTTATGAGAGTTTTCTGAGTGAATCAGATGATGCTGCTGATTTTAGATCCGAATGGGGGATTTGGGGAAGAATGATTAGAAAAAAGTGAATTTAGAGTTTTATGAGATAAAATGGTAGAACAAGATTAAAAAGATTAGAAGAAGAAATCAACGAAAAAAGTAAAAGAAAAAAGAATTTTTAATTTTTTTTTTAAAATTAATATTTTTGGTTGTCCCGCTGCTTAACATCTAATCTTTCTAACTGAAATATGTTTTTTCTGATAGTTTTCACGGCGTAGATCATATGAAAAATGGAGGTGAGATTCATATTTGGAGGGTTAAAGAATTGACATCTAGGTTAGATTAAAATGTAGAAATTCTATAATGATAGGATATAGGGTTAAAAAAAAAGAGTAATGATTTTTTTAGGAAAATTTGCAAGAAAAATATATAGGGAATGAATCACAATCATCCGGAGTTAACCTTACTTTTACGGGTATATGTATTTAAGGGTTAGGGGATAGTTAATATTTAGACACATCATTCCTCTGTTAATTACAAATAAATTCTTTTTTTGTATGTATCATTATTCAAAAAATAAAAAAAAAGATAAAAAGGTAACCAAAATGATACTTTCAAACAATAATATTTCTTATTTAATATAATATTTTATTATTTTTTTGCAATTTCAATATTTTTATTAATTTAATATTTTTAATTCAATATTTTTTTTTGAAAAATAAATATTGTTATTCCAAAGATACCATTATTGACTTAACTCTATGGTCAAACCGGTAAAATAGTGACAAAAGACAAAAAAAGAAAAGTTACTTCCTCTGTTTAAAAAGTTCCTGTTTGAATTCTCACTTTTAGTTCAAGTTATAAATTTGTACTTTTTTTGCATTTTTTTTTTGTACTCTTTTATATAAACTTGTACTCTTTTTTTTGTTCTGTAATTTTAAAAGAAATTAAATGAAATTGGACAAAACGAAGGATTCATGCATATGAAGTTGAATAATTTGGTCATCGCGCATACGTACGTACAACGTAGTACTAAATCAATCAGTATGACGCGTTCTCTGAAGTGATTAGTGATAATTAAGTTTAAATATTATGTCAAACCTAATTAAAACTTGGAAGCCAAGTAGTTAATTTAGAACTGGATTAAGGGCATTGGCATTAAGCACGTGGTCAGCTGTCTAATTTCATAGTTGGCACTCCTTGGATGCTTTTGCCAGCCCAGAGAGAGAGAGAGTGGCCCCTGTCGTAAGTAGGCGTATTTCATTTTCTATATCATTACGGCTACGCTGTAAGGTTGTTACTTGGTACGCAAGATTTAATAGTAAATTTGAAACAAACTTCCCCGTTCAATTTTTTTTTTTGGGTTAATAGTGGTTTCCAATTTACCCGGTGTGACTCGAATTTGTGACCTATTGAAAACAGGCGAGACATCTCACTATTACGCTGTACCTCATTGTCACTTACCCGATTCAAATAAAAACTAGTCCGGACATGATTTGTCCGTGGCTAATACATTAACGACTATAATATAGTCCGTAGGTTTTAGATCAATAATGAGCCGTCAAGACTTAATTCTTATTATTATTGAGATTTGAGAGTTTTAAAATAATACTTCTTTTGTCTCAAAATTATTGTCCAGTTTGGATTTTTATTTTTAGTATAAATTGAATTAAAAGTGAAAATCTAAACTGAGTATTTGGTTAGTAGTTTATGGTAATCTAGAACTTGTTGCTTTCGCAATTGAATCCGCTGTGCTATATAGAATACCCTTTAAAGTTTAAACAAGTACTGGTGCCACATTTTTTTGCATATTGCGGTGTGTTCACCGTCGACAACAGTGACTAATCCCTTCGCTCATGGTAGGCATCTCAATGAATGGGAAAATTGGCGAAAGGATTTAAGGTTGCTCCATGTCCATGACGAGGTTCGAATTCGTGACACACTTTGTTCTCTAATTCAAAAGATTTAAGGTTGTTAATGGTAGGCATCTCGATGGGTGGGGGAACTGGTGCCACACTATGTTCTCTAACCCATCTTAATTTATTATCAATGTTTGTGCTTTTTTAGGTCAAATCCGTGAAGTGAAATAGTAATTTTTTTCCCTTAGTTTTGTTTAGAACTCTCAACTCCAAACTTTTTAATTAGTTCACTGTCGCTTTCATCATCATTAACCGGAATAACAAAAGAATGTCTTCTTTCTGACCAAGTCAAAAAGATGCTATAGTTTGTAATTTCGTATCTTTACATGAGACTTGGAAACCCTTCTCAATAAGGAACAAAACATTTAATTCTTCACACGTTAACTTCTTTATTTAGGATTACTGTGCATTAATTCGTGGACTGGTACTTCATCTATGATCTATCCGTCTTATTTCCATACTTCAGTCTTTTAAATTAAAATAGTATTAAAAAAAAGAACTTTTAAAATGGGACGTACGGAGAGATATCTTACAAACAAGGCTCTTTGAAATTTTAGAAATGTAATGCATGACAAAATATTCACCAATTAGCGTGCGTGTGATCATGACCTGGTGTACCATAATTCAATTTTTGTTTTATATAAATATTCCATAATTACATAAAACTAGAAATTCCTCTCGTGTACCTTAGCTGGAGCCTTTTCGCGGCGCATAAGAATTTGTTCTGTTGACGATCGCATGGAAGTTCCTCATATTGTCAGTTTAATATTAGGATATCTGCCCTATACGACTTTTCCAAGTATAAATAATTATATACTCTCTCTGTTCCATAATTATTGTCCAGTTTGAAATTTCACTTTTAGTACAATTTGAACTAAAAATAAAAACTTAAACTGGACAATAATTATGGGACGGAGGGAGTAATATATATCCATATTCCATAGTGAAGCTCAATACGTACTTTGTTCTTTCCAGTCTTTTTTTTTTCTTTATGGTTTCTCCGTTGTCAGAGTGAAGATTAAAAAATATCAGGAAGTAGCTCCTCTGCTTCTTAAAAATGTATAACTTTCAAGTGGAGACTTTTATCACAAATTTGTACATATAAATGAATATTCAATATATTTGGATCCAATAACGACGAAGATACCTTTTCTCATGATTTACAAAGACCAAAAGAATTCCAAAAAAAAAAAACTCAGTCGTAGTATTTTTTCTAAGAAAACTTTCTAACTAAATATAATTTCAAATTAAATTACGACATTATTAAAACAACAATATTTATTCAACACAGAAAAATATTAAAGAATTGATCAACTAAATTATTGACCAGCAGCAAAGCAAGCTACAGTCAAGTCGTTACCAATAATCATCATCTTGAATCTGACGCGGTTCTCCTTTTCCCCACGCCTCCTCATATTTAACCTCCCCAGCAATTTCTTCCTTCCATCGCACAAATTTCCTGTTCCATTTCAACAACTCCTATAAATAATAAGACTTTAATCATATCGACCCCACTTGGAATTATAATCCACAAAAAGCTTTTCATACTTCATCATCATTCATCAATTCCTTTGTTTTGATCTTCATAAATATCTTCATATCCAGATTTGATTCATTCATTCTTTAGTGGGTTCAAGGAAAAAAAATTAACAATATGGCTAAGGATTCCTCCAACAAGAACTGGTCTTTGTTAGGCCGGCTAAGAGGGGCGGTGAAGAAAATCAGAGTTTTATTGAATTTTGATCTGAATCGGTTCAAGCTTGCTTCTTTGATCAGCGGTGCTTCATTTAAACGGCAGCAGAAGCGGTTGAGCTTCAATGATCGGCCGGGATTGACGGCCTTTGTGGACGGCGGCCAGGATTCTGATTCAAATGGTTCCGGTGGTTCTGCCGGCAGGGCTTTACAGAGGACCATAAGTTGCCCGTCTGATCAAGAGGATATTGATAAGAGAGCTGAGATGTTTATAGCTAATTTTTACAAGCAGCTTAAGATGGAAAGGCAGATTTCTTTGCAGTTGAGATATACTAGAGGATATAGCTTCGATTCGCCGTCTCCGTAAATATGACGAACAGATTGAAGAAAATTTTGATCCAAGCATAGATGCTCTGCTGCCGGAAACAGGGGATTTGCATATTCTGTTGATTTTTTTTTTTTTATAAAAAAAAAACAGAAGTGGGGACTTCGAAAAGTTTAAGATTTGTTCGCCGGTGGAGATTTCGGAAATGACGAGGTCGGTTAAATTTGTGTTAATGGATCTCTTCCATCTTTATCAAAGGGATCAATCGCCATTGCAACTTGCAAATGAGTTCCTGGAAGCTCAACGAAAAACAAATTTGATTATTTATTGTTGATATTCCAATATGCAACTTTTCGGTATTGATTTTAAGTTTTTTCCCCCCCTGATTCGTGATTGGAGTTTTGTCAGACATCTTGGAGATGGAATATGTCTGTTCAGTTTGTTTCTTCTTTTTCTAAGGTTTTTTTTTTTTTCACAATTTATTTCTATCTTTCATTATGAAATGCGGCCAATATGGTTGGCAAAAAAACAACGGGAGGAAGAATAGAACAAGACAATGAGACTAGTTCTGTTATAAAGGTTTCTGTTTGGTTGGTTTGTGGTTTGTGGTGTGGATAATAGCAAATTAGCTATAGTTTTCGGTAAGAACTACTGAGGAATTGATGTTGTCCTACCATTTTCATTTGGTGTAAAGTAAACGACGCTGGTTAAACACCCGCAAGTGTTGGAAACATGACTTTTAAAGAATGAATTGGGAAAAAAATTCACAGCCTTGACAAACATCTCCTTGTTCTTTCTTTCTTTCTTTCTTTGTTTTTCTCTTAATCACAAGCGATAATCATTCTCTATCAATCAACCAACTGAACATAAGATTACAACGACCTAAATCAGACTATTAGAGTAGCCCGTATACACTCCCTTCTAGCCACAAAGAGATTAACATCTCCCAAGTTAATGTAGATTTACTAGCTGCCAGTAAACTTGAACTACTAATTGCTTCTTAACAAACAAACACTTACAACTACTCCCACCGGTCCTTAGTATAAGGCAGTTTGATTTGTCCTAGGTTTAACCTATTACATATTTTTAATTGGCAAAAAAATCTTACAAATATTTAAGACAAACTCAAAATGCCTTATATCAAAGACCGGAGGGAGTAGTATGTACTGATTCGGTGGTTTGTTTCATGGGTGGGTTTTACTGAGCATTGGTGATTGTTTTAAGAACTTTGACTTGGGGGACTTGACGTCAAGTTATAACCGAGGTAGATAACCACTACAAAATGGCCACTGTGCAAGGAGGAGGATGAGTTAGGGGAATCATAGACGATTGGAAACATCATCAAGAGTGGTGTATGGTTTAAGCAACTGAGTAAAGGAAATGAATGACCGTGCCCAAATTCCATTTAGATTAGGAAATTTATTACTGTCCTCTCTTTTCAGACATGGATGCGGTAATGCACCCCAATTACAATTATAAATATGTTCCAGGGAAGAAGAACTCCTTATGATCGTTTATCCTTCAAGAACTAATAAAGCCATAACAAAACTTCGTTTCAATTCCATCATCATCAGCAACTGTTGATCACACATGTCGACCTTCGGATTTCCTTGCTTCGTAGTGGGAATCCGGTTAATGTTTCGTAGGTAATACTCCCTCCATTTCATAATTATCGTTTAGTTTTGCTAAAATGAAAGATTTTTTATACGATATGCAGAAAAAAAAATGTTGATCGTTTAGTATTGTATCTCTTGTTGAGCAGACATAAGTTGGTAGATTTACAGTATTGTACCTCCTGTGTGAGGTAGCTTAGTTGATCGTGATTGTTTAGTATTTTAGGTCTTTGATCTCCTTTATTGTACCAAAAAAAAAAAAGATTTTTTTTAGTCAAAATTAATTATATTTTACCTTGAGCCACCAGATATACTCCTACACAAGTAACTTTTTAACCACAACGGTATTATTTATTTGTTTTTTTTTTTTGTATATTTGTATGGTATCCACCGTCGGCAACAGTGACTAATCCCATTGTTAAACCATAAAGGTTTTATGAATGATGCTTTTTACTATGGACAAAGGTTTTATGAATGATGCTTTTTACTATGGACAAGTGTGTAACTTGATCCATAAAAAGTCAAATCAGATAATAATTTTGGGACAAAATTTTTGAGCAAAGTAGACAATAATTATAAGACGGAGGGAGTAGAAGATACATAAAAAAAACGGCAATTCCATACGACTAGTCAAATTGCCTCACCAAATTTCATCCCGTCGGGGAATACCGGTTGAAGATTCCTAACTAGAGAAGTGTGTAACCTTTGGCATTCGACGATCATCCATTTCAGGGAAATGCATCGAAACTAGCAATGGCGACGATGAAAAGATGGCTGACAGGGCAAAAGAAGAAAGGGAGATTAGTGCAGGAGTCTTTAATAATACTAATCACAGAAAAAGAATAGACAAATTCCACCAAGCAGTTCCCTCCTTGCCAACACAAAAAGTTTCAAACTACGTGAGAATTGATTGTGCGTTCTTGGAATTCAGCTGCCATTTTCTTTGCTGGTCTAGTTTCATGAGGTGAAAGCTCCACTTGACTTCCGTCAAGTAAACAAACAAGAGAGGTACTCGCTCCGGTCCTTATTATAAGGCATTTTGATTTGTACTAAATTTAACTTAGTATATATTTTTATTCGACGAAAAAAATTTTAAAATATATTTTCATATTCATTGTGTTCTCTTAATTATTATGAAACATTTTAAAGGTTTTTTCATCGATTAAAAGTATGTACTAGGTTAAACCTAGGAAAAGTCAAAACGCCTTATATTAAGGACCGGAGGAAGTATCTTTTGATCTTTCTGAGCAACAGGGTTGCTCTGAAGAGGTGATGCCACAGGGGAAAGGGAAAGAACCTCTTTGATGTTCTAGTCCAACAAAAGGCATTAACGTCATCAGCTGACAAATGAAACATAAGTCATTCTTCCACGGCTCACCAACTTTTTTATGCACAACAATACACATGTAATCATTTTCAATGAGAAACTCCATATCTCGTAGGTGCAAGTTATCAGGGAAGAGAATACAAATCCAGATAAAAGGCCACTTTTCAATGAGAAACTACACATCGAAGTTAGCCTCATTGAACAAGAATAAATTTCATCAAAAGAAACGCCATACATATACCAACTAAGTTAAGAGAATATTGTTTTGATTGAAGCATGCAACTACAAAGTTCTAAGCCCTCCATATGGTGCTAGAATAAACTTTGAAAGAGTCTTAAATGATAAAATCCATACTCCATAACACTACCATACCACTACAATTCACCCTCTACAAAATTCCTCCCAATATTTACTTTTTTGTACTCTCTGCTCAAACAAACAGGTACAAAAGCTGTAACACTACCATACCACTACAATTCACCCTCTACAAAATCCCTTTGCTTTTACTTCCTCAAATTCTATTCAATGATTTCTAGGCTTCAGAGGGTAAATAGATGATGGTGATTGTCAATAATAGGTGGTGGTGATGTAGGTGGAAAGGGAATCGGGCAGTAGGGTGGAGGAAGGAATAGATGATGATGATGATGATGATGATGAAGTGGTATGTGGGAGAGATTCTGGAGAGTTAAGCAAAAGGCAAAAGGAAATAGATTTCTCCTCTTCTTTCTTTTCTTTTCCCTTTGTTTTTTGATTTATTTGTTATTATTTTAATTTTTTTATTACTATATTTTTGTTTTGGGTCGGTTGGGAGAGAGGATTTAATTGAAAGAAGATGGGATCAAATTGGGGTTTTTTTTTTTTTTTGACTAAACTTCCTAAACTAAACTTGAAACTAAACTTCCTAAGAGATTTTGGGGGGATTCTTTTTGCTGGGACGAATATCCAATGAAGATGCCTGGATGACATCGAGCATCAAATTTGTCTCTGGAAGGACTAGGATCAACTGCAAAGGCGAGACAGCCAAAACGTCTCAAATGATCATATTGAGGTGGCTTGCCATGCAGAAGTTCAAAAGGAGTTTTCCACTTAAAAATGGGAGAAGGAGTGATGTTGATAAGATATGTGGCAGTGAGTATTGATTCACCCCAGAATCTCTTAGGAAGTTTAGTTTCAAGTAGCAAAGATCGTGCCACTTGAAGCAAATGACGGTGTTTACGCTCTACTACATCATTTTGTTGAGGTGAATAAGGGCAAGTACGCTGATGAACAACGCCATGAGCAGCAAAAGGAGACTGACATTGTTCATAACAAATTCAGAGCCGTTATCAGTCCTAATGATCTGAACAACAACATGAAATTGTGTTTTGATAAGCTCTAGAAAGTTGGTGATCAAAGCAGCAACTTGAGTTTTGTATTTAAACAGAATGGTCCAAGTAATTCGACTAAAATCATCCACAATCGTCAGGAAAAATTGACAAGCATTAAGAGAAGGCTGTTTGTAAGGACCCCAAACATCCATATGAAGTAAAGAAAAACACTTAGTACTCTGAATTGTACTTGTATTAAAAGGATTTCGATGCTGCTTAGATAAAGGACAGATTTCACATAGAGCAACATCATGATCAAATTCAGTAGATGAAATACAAGAAGATAGCTTCTTCATTACATAGAGCAACATCTAAAATCTAGAGTGCCAACAATTGGCAGTCTTTATTTCAATAAGATTCCTTACAGAAGAATACAATTCACTATTAGCAGGAAGCCTTCTAGCTATAAGCATATAAGAAGCATACAAATGCTGAGATTCTTGAATAGCTTGGTCAGTAAAGGAATATGGATGTATGGCATACAAGCCTTGAATAATTCGACCAGCAGCTAAGATTTTAGAAGTGTGAAGGTCCTGCAGTAGACAAAACTCATCGAAAAATTGAAAGAAGAGTTTGGAGTCCTTGGCTAATTTTCGAACAGATAGCAAATTATATTTGAGACATGGAAGATGCAAGCAATCTTTCAAAACAAGGTTATCAGACAATCTAGCATTTCCTATGTGAGTAACAGACTTGATACTTCCATCAGAAAGACCAACAGGTGTGTATTTTTGAACAATGTGGGAATTGAACAGAAGATCAAGGAAGCCATTCATGTGTCCTGTGGCTCCAATATCAGTGAACCAAGTGTTTCTATTAAAATAATCAGGCTTAGGACTAAAACGGGAAAGGATAGTGCTACCTGCAAAGTCTTGAACATGGGCGAAGTTCACAGTGTTGGTTACATCTGCAGGGCCCTTCCCTTTCATTATCCTGCCAAGTTATTGTTTCTGCAATGATTCCTTCCCAATCAGAAGTCTTGTTATCACCAACTTCCAAAGGTGTCTCAGCAAGATTGACATTCACCATTCCAGTGCCTTTCTTCTTATCAGGATAGCCAATAATCTTGTAACAATTCTCTTTTGGATGACCATCTCTTGTCCTGCTTTCCATTGATCTTGACATTGGAGTCTTTCTTCCAGTTAGTTCCCTTTGCCACCATTGCTGAATGATCAACAGATGTTGCAATGCTAACCTGCATGTTCTTTTGAGCCTTAAGCAACATTGAGTAAACACGATTAACATTAGGCATAGGATCCATCATAAGTATTTGATTCTTCTCAGCTTCAAATGCTTCATCAAGCCCCATAAGAAACTCCATAGATTTATCTTCAATAGTCCTTTGCTCAATCAACCTCATGACTACTCTCAAAGCATCAGTAACTCCTAATGCATACTGTGCAGACTGAGAACCAGTAATGAGAGCCTTAACTGGACTTTCACAATCAATATTAGGTCGAATCTGTCCAAGTTGATCCCTCAACTGCTTCAATTTCCCATAATATTGAGTAATAGACAGATTCTCTTGCTTAATCATAGCTATCTCACGTTTAATTTGGAAAAGTAATCACAAATTTGTAGATCCATACCTCTCACTGATTTCATTCCAGAGATCTTGAGCATTGTTGATATACATAAACTGATTGACAATATCTTCAGAAATTGAACTGAGGATCCAAGAGATTACCATATTATTTACTTTCTTCCACTTACAATAGTAAGGAGAGTCATTTGCAAGCACAGAGCAACTTCCATCTATGAACCCTAGCTTGCTTTTGGCTTCAAGAGCAGTGATCATCGCTGTCTTTCAAAGCAAGTAGTTGATATCTTTCAGAGGAGTCGTCACCAACTTCATTCCCGGGTGATCCGATCCATGGAGAAGCAATTGCTCTTCAAGTTCCTGATTAATCAGCCTCTGATTGTTCAAGAGACACTGATCTTCAGGATTCGCCATCAGACTCAAGAAAAATTTCGACAATCAAGAAAGAAGGAAAGGCGGAAAGAAATCACAATCAAGATAGAATAGCGGAAGCAAATGAGAAAAGAAAAGAAAACGAGAATTGAATTCAGTGTAAGGATCTTGGTCAGAGCAGGATTAACTTGCTCTGATTCTATCTAAGAAATCAGTAGACAGGAATAAAGAGAAATCGACCGCCATGATAAACCTAATTGAAGCTTTTTGAGAGTGACTTGGGGAAGAACTTTCTCATTAATAATTAGGAAGATATGTATAGAGTATTTATAAACTAAATCTGATAAAGAGCTTTGCTAATCTCACTAAGCTGTACAAAATTAACAAGACTAAGTCATTTACAAATTCTACGTGACAGCCGGTGACTCTAACATATTTACAGAGTCGGTTGATGCAAGTTGCAGCAAGGAAGAGCTCTCTAGAAGCTTCTGGTGCGAGTATTTACAACTGGATCGTTCTGGAATTCCGTCATGTGAGTGTTGCCCAAGTAAACGTGGAGAGGAAGAAGCTTCTGTGCGTGCTGGTGCACATGAGTTGCTAATGCTCCTGTATTACAGCTGCTGACGTGGCGGGATGATGTTGTTTTTCGACCGTCAAAGACTGCAATAAACATGTACCTCATGGTGACATTTAAGTATACGTGTGATGAAGCTTTCCTCTAGATTTTTTTTTTTTTTTTTGAAACAAGCTTTCCTCTAGTTTGAATAAAAAAAAAAATAGCACATTCATGATAATAAAAGAAAGTAATTTTCCTTGTAATCCAAATTTCAAATAAGTCTCACATTATATAGAATTCATTGGGAGACGGGTATTGGCCACGGTGCAAGGAATGAGGATGAGTTGGGAATCATTGATGTGGAAACAGCGTCAATAGCGGTGCACGTAAAATTTAAGCAACTGAGTAAAGGACGCGACATTTCCCGAATCCAATTTAGATTTAACCAGCAATTCACTATATGTATATATATAATCCTATCTTCACACACAAGGAATCGGATTTGTCACGCACCCAATCATACCACTATAAATATCCCTGTGAAGAAGAAAATTTTAACATCATTCATCATCGTTCAAGAACTAAAACCCATAAGAAAATTTTTTGTTCTAATTCCATCCTCATCATCAATTGTTAATTCAACATGTATCAATTTCTTTGCACTGTAGTGGCAATCTGGTTAATCTTTTCGTACGTGACCCAAGATATAGCAAGCAGCAGCGATTCCAGTATTTCCAATCAAGTCACCTCACCGAAATTCGTCCCGTCGGAATTACCGTCGGCGTTTGAAAATTCCTTAGAGAAGTGTGTAACCCTTGCGTTCGACGACCATCCGTTGTCCCGGGGACCGGCACCGAAACTAGCAATGGTGACGGACGACAAGAAGAAGTCGGTGGACTGGGATTCGATTGTTTGTAAGGACATCCTTCGAATGGTTAACGTTTACCGTCGGGATAATGGTTACTTGCCGAGTTACTACGTTGAGGCCTTGGAAAAAGTTCCGAAGTTCAAGAACGACAAGTATGCCCTGAATCGGTTCCTTTGCCGGATGGATCCTCACAACAACTACTTAGGTGTTCCTTGTCCTGATTTGTTTTCAGGTATCACTTGTAATGTACTCGAAATTGTTAGGCCGTGATTTTTGTTGAGTGTCCGAATCGGTGGGCTTATAGCTCTTTGTTTATTGTAATGACAAACTTATTATTGTTGCAGTTAGTTCTAGCAATATATACGTTGCTTTTTTGGTGATAAGGAGTACGTATTATGTATGATTCTCTTCTTCATCATGTTTAATCAATGTTGCTAAGAATCATGCTCATGCTCCTAGTATCACTCTTTATACACGTATTTCCTCAAAAAAAAATTAAATTAAATTAAATCATGCACTAAGTTTTCCTTTGAATCGAGCCACTAACTCAAATCATATATAATAGCCTTCCTCGCACTTATTTGTTTGGTTTGATGGGCTTTCTCGCAACACATAAATAATGCGTATATGGCCAACGAACGCTTGCCACCAGAAGATTTTGGGACAAAGCATGACAGCAGTCAGCAGCCTGGCCTAGGTCTATAATACAAAATAGAAGACGAATAAAATCGTTGACAAAAACTAACTTCTATATATTTTTTTTTTCTAATAACATACATATGCAATTGCTTTGTTGGTCTAAAAGAATTAGCTCTTTCATTTCTGTAACATGTTCACGGTGGATATTAATATGACACGAAATTGAAACTCCATTCAATTTGTTAATTGATTGCATTCAGAAAAAGAAGACGTGTGTTTATCAACCAAAAACTACCAAAATGTTGGTTAAATGTATATATAGAGGAAGTTAACTGTTAATGTAAGTTAGCAAATCCTTAGCTGAGAGAGTACTTCATTGTGTCAATCGCTGCACTATCTAACGTAGGGTCAGTCAACTTGACCCAAAAAGACGGGTAATTGAACACATGAAAATATTTCAGGTGTTATATCTCTTTCTATTTGGTTAATTTGTGGCACAAAATCTTAGGGTATGCTTCGATTTTTTTTATTGTGTATTTTTAGCTGTTTTCATTGAAAATGTGAAAATATATGATTGAATGACACATTTATAAACAAAAAAAAAAATCTGAAAAAAACCAACAAAAAGGAAAACAAACAGAGTTATAAAAAACCAACAAAAAGTTTCCATTCATAACTTGCGATAAAAATAGAATTGAAGTCATGACATTACGATTGTAGTCAAAACACACTTGAATCTTATGATCCGTTGGCACTTTCATCCAAACGGAAGCCTTTTAATTTGCACCTCAAAAAGGAAATCTTATGATCCATAGGCTTATTAATATGAATCACTTGTTAAGTAGGGTTTCATATCTCTCTGTCTCTCTCTCCACTTCCGCCGCTTTAACCCTCTTCCCCTTTCTTTTTCTCTCTCAACATTCCGTTTCATCGTTGAGTGAAGATTTCCATTTTTTTTCTTTCTCCTCTATTGCTCTTCTATCCTCCATCGCCGCCTCTGCGCCTCTATTTTACAGGTCTTCTCCACCCACTAATTTGTTTGTTCGAACCTGGTTGGAACCGTCGTTGTCTGCAGGTGGTTTACTTCCAGTTTCCAGCAGGGCTGGAGAAGATGGTGAAGCTCCAACATTTAAAGAGTTTTCACGGTTTTCTTATGATCTGATCTCATGTGAAAAAGCGGAAGAAATTTTTATGTTTCCCGCATTTGGACGAATATTATGGTTCACGAGATTCCTCGTTTGAACTTTGGAGCTTTCTTGAATTCCTAGCTAAATTTTGTTGACGACCGGTGGAAGGACCCAGCCCGTCTAGTGGTGCACCATCGGAAATACTGAAGCCACGTAGATGTTGCCGGGGAGGAGCCACGGGAGGTACGCTAGCCATGTGGACTTTGCAGGTCCGGCCAGTCTTCGGGCGGTATTCCATTATTGCTGTGCAATTACGCCAGAGCTACAAGATACGAACAATAAATTATTAAGTTTTATGGCAATTATGAGTTTACACCGAAATTGTAATTTTTATAACATTATAATAACGAGAGTAGATAGATACTCTCGACTAGAATACTGTTTTTGGAGTGGAGAGCTAATTATATTATTCTACCAGATGTCCCAAACATACGGAACTGAATCTCAAAAAGAATTAGTCGATAGGGCAAATGAAATTACAATTTTGGTGGAATAATCCATCACCTTATACGTACCCCCTCCGGTAGTACTTTAATTAGTTCAACAAATATGATACTGTTTTTGGTTGTTTGGATGTTTATTTTGTCATGGGCATAAAATTCCATCAAACTTCTCATTTCCATGCCTTTTTAGTAATTTAGTGTTGCGGTTTCATCTATCATTTTTTGGTGCAGATTTTACTTTGAGACATCAAATCCTCAAATTTGGATGCATTCGGTTTCATTCATTTTGAATTGTTTAGAACAGAGACCAAAAATTAAAATAAACTAAATTCCATATCATGATTGTTAATCACAGGGCCACATAAGTAGACAGTAGCCACTAACCAACTCAAACTTATTCCCCGTCCCAAGATTTGAAACGTTCATTTATAGTTGAACTGCTACATAGTGCAACCTTAATTTCTTTTTAATGTTCTTGTTACAGAGGAGGATAGAGGCTTAAAACCAAACCAATACTTTCGTTGGAGTAAAGTACTTCAAAAATATCTTGCTCCTTAGTGAAGTCGTGCTTTCAAATCACGGCTTGAATAGTGAAGCGTCAAATGTCTTATTTCGTCGACCGGATCGTCGATACACTTAACTCGACGAGAAAGTCGACTAGAATAATTCATTTTGTTTTTTCTTTAACCAATTTCTTATTTACATTTTTTACTTTCTCAGCCATTATGTTTTAGTTTATTCACTAATTTTCAATTGTGACTATTAGACGCCTTCAATTTTTGTGAAGTTCTCTAATTAGATGATAAATTCGGCGCCATCCGCTCTTGCTTCCTTGATGCAGCAAGGAGTTCATCAATTGAAGTATAATAATTTTGACACAGTAAGTCTTACTATTTTTTTTTAAAAAATAGTTTTTGGGATTGCATGTTAAGTTTTTCTTTTTGTTGATTACAAAAAACGATAAGCAATTAGAAAATTTGGTGCATTACATAAAGTTCGACAGGAAACGGGTTGTCATTTATTAACGGAATGCAACACTTTTACCTACTATATATATTACATGTTATATTTATGGGAACTGAAATTTTTATCATTTTAATCAAAACTATTAAGCTAGTGTAAGCAATGAAATCGTAAAGTGACAGATAACGTAATATAGGTTTGACACATAAACAGTACTCCCTCTTTACCTTCTATTGAAGAAGACACCGACTTAGTTGAAGGATTTTTGTTAATTTATTAAAGTAATGGCAACCGACATACACTAGTAAGTTGGTTCGACACTTCAACGTATACACGCACTTTTAGGACAATATACCAACCATGTTGCATTCCATTACATACAGTCTAATAAGTCTAATTAGTGGATTTTCTTAGGCATTTACGGATTAAATATCGTATAAGGTGAAATGATATTTAAAACGGAAAAAGCTAGCTATTAATCAGACGGGGTTTACGTGGATAAATAGAATTGAACTCATGGCAATCTGATTGCAGCCACAAACTCTAACCACTCGAATCTTATGATCCTTTGGCATTTTCACTTATATATGAAGCCTTTTTGTACCTATTAAAAGGAAATCTTATAGCTTCAATTCTCTTATGAACGTGAATCACTTGTTAAATAATAAGGGTTTTCATCTGTTTCTTCTTTCATCACTCCCCTTATCTCCTGTCTCTCTCTCTCTCCCTCTCCCAACATTCCATTCCAGTACTGGGAGAAGATGGTGAAGATCCACCATTTACAGAGTTTCCACGGTTTTTTTATGATCCGATCTCATGTGAAAAAGCGGAAGAAGTTTCATGCTTCTCACATTTGTACTAATATTATGGTTCGAGATTCCTCCTTTGAAATTTGAAGCTTTCTTGAATATCTAGCTAAATTTTGTTTGCGACCGGTGGTAAGACCCAGCCCGTCTAGTGGTGCACCATCGGAAGCACACAAGCCATTTAGACTTTTCTGGGGAGTACTCCGGTCAGTCATTGTGTGGTTCCCGACTCCTGCCGGGCAGGAGGAAGTTTACAGAAATCCAATTGGATCTGACAGCATCAATTTAGCATGCTTAGAAATAGAATTATGCTCTCATAACTGGCTGATTCTAAGATTTCAATGTATTTTTCTTTTTGAATGAAAAGAAAAAAAAAATCAGTCAAACTCATGTTGTTATCATTCCTTACTTATATTATTTGATTGCTTTGGTGAATAGTGGTTGTTACCGTATATGAGATTCCCTTTCTTCATCATGGGTAATGCTAAGAATCATGCTCTTCTTATGACCTCTCAGCGGTTATTTTTTCCCCTCAAAAGATAAAATTAAGTCATGCCCTTGTTTTGCTTTGAATCAGATTTCACCAACTCAACTTACATGGCCTATCAACGTTTTTCACCAGTTTTTGCTTATAACAATGATTGAGACAACAACTTAAAATACTACCTATGTATAGACTATATTTTTAGGGACGGAAAAAGGTACTCTTAAATTTGTAATACAAAGACCACAACGTGTTCGAGTTGTATAAATTAATGAGTAACGTCTAATGGTAAATCATACAATCGCATAGACGCAGGTTATTATTTGCAGTAATTGTGCAAATTAATCATCGTCACTAGAAGGTTGAATTTTCAAAATGATTGGGTCAAAAATAATTTTAAAATGCTAACTAGAAATGGACTAAGAACATTGAGGTTGATATTCATGATTTGTAATACAGCAAAATGAAAGCAGCTTAATTATAAGGTGAAATGAGAGTTGGAGATTAGCAGCTAAGCTATATTATTAATTGGATGGGATCTACAGGGAAAAAGGATACTAGTACTACTCTATCTACGCGCGTATGCTTCTCTTCGTTCATGTATATGGTACTCGAAATTGAAGTTTACTAACTGAAACTCATTATCAACTTGTGAAACTCATGACATTCTGATTTCTGATTGTAATCAAAACTCTCAACACTTGAATCTAATGATCCTTTTGCGCTTTCACTCATATGGAAGCCTTTTAATTTGCACCTCAAGAAGGAAATCTTTTTAGCTTCAGTTCCATAGGCTTACTAATGTGAATCACTTGTTAAGTAGGGTTTCATCGTTCAGTGAAGATTTCCATTTTTATTCTTTTTTTGCCCTTTCTTGTTCTATGATCCTCCACCACCGCCTCTACGAATACACATAAGCTTCGGATCTCAAATTGCTGAGGTCTTCTCCGTTGTTTGGTGTGAGGGGATTTTCACTTTCCAGCTGCTGTACTGGATAAGATGGTGAAGCTTCACCATTTACGGAGTTTCCACGGTTTTGTTATTATCCGATCTCGTGTGAAAAAGCGGAAGAAATGTTATGTGTTTCTAACATTTCGTCGAATATTAGGGTTCAAGATTCGTCGTTTAATCAGCTTTCTTGAATTTCTAGCTAAATTTTGTTCGTGACCGGTCATACGACCCGTCAAGTGGCACATTTATGTTAAAGCCTGGAAAAGGTTCCACTGATTCAAGAACGATCCTTCTGGCCTACTGAATTCCATTGCCGGATGATTTCTCAGAGCAATCCTTCTTCGCTGGTCCTTGTTGGAGCTGTTTTATCAAGTAGTTGTAGCTGTTTGTAATTTACTTCCATATTTATTGTAAAAACATTTTATTGAAATTACAAATAAAACTGATATTTTTTTTGGTTTATAAGAGCATCTCCAACTATTACACAATAATTTATACTGTAGAAATTGAATATTCTAAATATTTTTATATACCAAAGTTATTCGCGCTCCAATCTAATACACCAAAAGGTCTAAATATGAGATATTTTAGTTTGAATTTTATTTTAGTCATTGATTAAAATAATATAATTTGGTATATTTTATTTCTTAATGCTTTTTATTTGATTCTAGAAATAAGAAGTTTTTATAATATTTTTAAAATATTCAATTTTAATAGTGACCAAAAATAAATTTTATTTTTAAAAAATAAAATTTTATATTCAATATGGGTTTTATTTTGTAGATCTCAAGAACATATTTACTATGATATAACTTTCACAACATAATTCATTTTATAAGTTTAACTATATAGCAATTATATATTTAAATCAAAATAAAAATATAATGCACTAAAGATAGTGTATTCGACAATTTACATCAAATTTGAGGTAATACTGCTATTGCACCAAAATAGTACACCGATTTGTATCTTTGTTAGAGTGCAAACTTTACAACAAAATTGGTGTTTTAATATCTTCTTTGGAAATGCTCTTGAGAGATAGTTCTATGTACGCTTTTGTTTTTCATCGTGAAGAGCATAAATTTAGTATGCTTAGAATTATGCTCTGATAACTCTAGCTGGCTGATTCTAGGATTTCAATGTAATTTTCTTTTCTTTTTTTTTTTCTATAATTAAAAGACCTTTTGTTTAATAATCAAACTCATGTTATTATTCCTTATGAGGTTGGTTTGGTGGGTTGACCATGCTTACAATGAATAGTGATCCATACATGAAGTTAGTGGAGTTTTATCTTTTTTCCCTTTCGCAAGGTGTTTATCGTTGCTAATAATTGTGATCAAAACCTTGAATTATTTTACTATTTTCATCTCAAAATTATTGTCCAATTGAATTTTTATTTTTAATCAATCAATTTACACTTATTGAAAGCAGTTGACACAAAAGCCACGTGACAATTCCATAAAAGTTATTTTCCATAAAAGTTATTTTCCTGCCTAAAATTCAGAGACAATACGATGTAATTTTAGCTTAATAAGAGAAAGGAATCCCATCTATTTAGGCATAAGATTAAAGATACTGTAAAGTAATTTGATTTGAAGAATCAATTATTATTTTCTCAAAATTTTCTATCAATCAGATTCAAATAAAAAATATCATCAACAATTTATTTCCTCTATCTAGAAATCCGCTTTAGAGAGTTCATCTTTAATTTTCTTTTCATAGTTGCATATCCTGTTGTTAAATAACGTCCTCCTAAACATTGTTTGGACAACGGCCTGGGCTAATAAATTAGTTCAAATTATACTAAAAGTGAAATCTCGAGCTACATAATAATTTTGGGGGAGAGAGAGTACAATTTTTAATTATGCACATGAACATGGAAATAGCCAAATATTAGTTATTTATACTTAAGAGCCAATTATAGTAATTATGAAGACTTCATTAACACTAACTTATGTACCCATATATATTAAGTTGTACTCTCTGTTTTAAAATAGTGTGAATCAGAAAATAAGTCTTTGAACTATTCGGTAATCTCAATACAAGTTATCAATCAAATTTATTTGTAAAACAGGTCACCATACTAAGCAAAAAATCCATCCGAGATCATTCTGTTAATTTTGGTCGTTAAATAGTGGCGGAAATCTATTTTTCACATGCTTTTGGGTTCATGGTATTTTTGTCAATTTTTTATTTTTAAATTTTTAATTTTGGAAAAAATTAAATTTTTTTTTCAACAATTCTTCTTCTTATGCTTCCTAACTTGTATATGCTGGTATTAAAATTTATAGATTTCAAAAATTAATTTAACTTTTTTGATTTAACTTCTAGATTATAATTTCTTTTTTTAAAAAAAAAGGTAGAAAAATGAAGAAGAAAAATTTGAGTTGAAGTAAACATGAAAATTAATAGTTTATCATTTTAAACCAAAAAAGAAAATAAAAAATTAGCAAAGACAAGTTGTTTCTTCTAGATTATTTGATTATTTTCAACTCAATTTAATCATTTAATTATTTGTTTTCACGTTTACTTCAATTTGAATTTCTCTTCTTTATGTTTTTCTTCATTTTTTTTTATAATCTAGAAGTTAAGATACAAATGAAAAATTAATTTTTAAAATTTGATAGAACCAACATACACAAGTTAGGATGTAAAAAGGAAGAAGAATTTTTAAAATAAAATAAAATAAAATATTAATATTATTGAAAAAAAAATACAGAATTATGAAATTACCTCTGGCCCCAAAAGCATGTGAAAAATAGTTTTCCGTCATGATTTAACGTTCAAAATAGCTTTCAGCTAAGAGAAGTTGTTTCGCCTAAGTTATTTTGGGTGCTAATCATGATAGAAAGTTATTTTTCACATGCTTTTGGGTCCAGGGACAATTTCATCATTTTTTTTATTTTTTTTAAAATATTAATATTTTAATTAATTTTTCTTTTACAAATCTTCTTCTTTCACTTCCTAACTTATGTATATATTAGTACTAATATCATTATTAAATTTCAAAAATTAATTTATCATTTGTATTTTAACTTCTAGATTATATATAAAAAAAGAAATATAAAGAAGAAAAACTCAAATTGAAGTTAACGTAAAAACTAATAATTAAGTAATTCAATCGAGTTAAAAATAATTAAATAACTTAGAAGAAATAACCTGTCTTATATAATTCTTTTAGTCTTTCCTTTGGTTTAAAATGGTAAACTATTAATTTTCATGTTTACTTCAAGTCGAATTTTTCTTCTTCATTTTTAAAATTTTTTTAAAAAATTTATAATCTAGAAGTTAAAACAAAAGTTAAATTAACTTTTGAAATTTAGAAATTTATACTATCAGCATATACAAGTTAGGAAATATAAGTAGCCGAATTGTTAAAAAAATAAAAAATAAAAAATTGACAAAAATACCCCTAAACCCAAAATCATGTGAAAAATGGATTTCTATCACCATTTAACGGTGAAAATTAACAGAATGATCTCGGATGAATTTTTTGCCTAGTATGGTGACCTGTTTTACAAATAAATTTGAAAAATGACCTGTATTGGAATTACCAAATAGTTCAATGACCTGTTTTATGGTCCACCCTTTAAAATAATTGTGTGCATATTAAATCTTTAGGTTTATACTAATTTTAGCACAAGTTTGAAAATTTAATGTAAACTTTTTTTTTTTTCTGGAGACAGTGGAGTAGTAACTAGTATTTAATCAGATTTTAGATCGATCTATATACATATGTCGAGTGACCTTATTGTTTATATTTTATAAACATGGTCATGTGTACTCACATAACAAGATTGGTGACTCAAATTTTGAAAGTTAAGTTGCTCATATTTTCGGTCTATTGTAAATCAATGCTGAAAATAGGTGTTTAAAGTCTCAGACGAATTTTTATAAAGTTTCAGATAAGGGACGGCAGTACATAAATTCCACATAATTTGGGATAATAAGTCAAATACTTTTGAGTAAACATTGTACTACATATTTGAGAATTGATAATGAGTCTATAACTACTTCATAGACAAAATTGGACTAGATTTTCTTGTACAAAAAGACCAGTATTTTACCTTTTTCCTTTCCATGTATAAAATGGTTCTCATAATGGTGCTGAATGGAAAATTGGGAAGGGGTAGGACAATTGGAAAGAGGCGTTACGGTTACGCGGCTTACGCCGATCAAATTGGGTTTCGGGTTCTGATTCGGGTTCGGATCCGTTATTAAGAAGTTCCTCTTTCATAAGCCCTAATATCTCTCTCCTTTGTTTTATCGCCCTCTTAGACATACCATTCCGCCGTCGTTTTTGTGCCGCTCGCGATTCACTGGTCAGCCGCCGTCACTTGTAGAACAGTCTGCCGGAATCGAGATCGGATTCGATTGGGAAACGAATTAACCGGAGGATTCTCTCTGTTTCTGGCTGTGTTTGACGGGTAGAAAAGAGGGGCAAAAAATGGCCGGAACTAATAAAGCTTCGCAGCAGAAGCCGGAGGAAGAAGGCGGTGGTGTCAGATGGTATTTCTCGAGGAAAGAAATTGAAGAAAATTCTCCGTCAAGAAGAGATGGGATTGATTTGAAGAAAGAAACGTTTTTGCGCAAGTCATATTGTACGTTCTTGCGGGATCTAGGCGTGAAGCTCAAAGTCCCCCAGCTAACAATCTCGACGGCGATTATATTCTGCCACCGGTTCTTCCTCCGTCAATCCCATTCAAAACACGACCGGATGATTATCGCCACCGCTTGCATATTTCTCGCCGGAAAGGTTGAAGAATCTCCTCGCCCTTTAAAGGATGTTATACTTGTTTCTTATGAAATCATTCATAAGAAGGATCCACAAGCTGTGAAAAGAATCAAGCAAGATGAGAAAGTATATGAAGCCCAGAAGAGAATAATTCTGCTTGCTGAGTTTTCGGTTCTGGGTACCCTTGGGTTTGATCTTAATGTGCTTAATCCGTATAAGCCACTGGTTCAGGCAATGAAGAAATTCAAAGTTGGTCACAATTCATTTGTGCAGGTTGCTTGGAATTTCGTGAATGATGGGCTTCATACTTCTTTGTGCCTGCAATTTAAGCCCCAACATATTGCAGCTGGTGCCATTTTTCTGGCTGCTAAGTTCCTCAAAGTAAAGCTTCCGTCATCTTCAGGGGAGAAGTTTTGGTGGCAGGAGTATTTTGATGTCACTCCTCGCCAATTGGAGGAGGTTAGCAACCAAATGCTGGAACTGTATGAGCACAGCAGGGAGCCACAGCAGCCTTCTCTGCAGGCTAGTGAAGCAAGTGGCACTCCGCCGCCCGGTGCAGTTGGCCAGTCACCTCAACCACAAAGGCTAAAGCTGGACAAGAACAGGTTGAAGGCTCAAATCGAGAAGAGGAGGAAGTCTCAACCAGATGTATCTCGAAAACCTGATGTTATTGACGATGATGACCTGATAGAAAGAGTATTGGAAGATGGAATTGAATTAGCTGCTGAGAGTGAGAGCAAGGCCAAACCTACTTGAAACAAGCAACCATTTTGGTAATGCGGAACAGAGCAATCGGTCTCTGAGGTTGAACAATGGCCAGCGCCGATGGTAGTTAGTCCAATTGACAAGTTAGTATAGGGAAACAATGGGAGCATCACGAAGGGCACTTACTTGTACAAGAGAATCACGTTTAGCCGTCCCCTCTTGAGTATGTGAAACACTTAAGTTTGTACATATATAAAAACCTGACTTTGAGAAATCTTTTAATCAATGTACAAAATCTCAATCTTTTTCAGTTAAATGCGTCATAACTTTTTGTAGGATCATAAACAGTGTAGTTGCAAACATGACCCCAATAACACTACATATAATTTATGTCTCGCACTGTGGATTTATGATTGTGAAGCATAATAAAAAAAAGGTCGAAAGAACATAAACAATATTATGTATCAACCAGGACAAAATTGAGGGATCAAAATGAAAAAAGGCATGACAAGCTACATTATATTCTTGTGCCTTCAGGTGTCCAGTACTGCCTCCAAAACCAGAACTTCACTGTGAAAAGTGTCTCGCAAATGATGGAGCAAAATGAGAAGCAGCGGATGCTGGTGGCTGGATTTAGGATCTAACAGCAACCGTTCTCAGACTTCCAACCGCATGAGTTGGAAGCTGGAAAAAACTTAGTCTGAGTATCCCTTTGACAGATTATGATTGGATGGGTCCGGAACATCTCCTGCCGGAATTTCATCGCCCTCAGGATGAGCTTTAAAGAATTCCAAAAGCCTTGAGCGGAAAACTTTCCTTAGCTAAAATATCTCACTTCAAGATTTTCCTTTCCCATCGGTCTGAATAGCTTCGAAGTTTAGAGAAATATGAAGATCAGGCTTCATACAGCAATTGAGCGGCTTATGTACAAAGACCTTCTCTACCTCAATCGCCTCAGGCAAAATAAATTTTAGCTGAGCCAAACGACTCTGAGTAAACCTGATGTTAGTGAATCACTCTATTTGGGGACTGATGTTTGTAAATGTCGTCCTTGAGCCCTTCATCAAGAAGCGTGATTGAACAGTCCAAACCACTAAAGAGTTTATACAGTGTTTCATTGATGAAAAATCGATGGACTCCGTTGATGAAGAATTATGTGTGGAATCTATTCTGAAAGCTGGAGAGATTTGATACGGAAACGTAATGCAAGAGTTTGTGCAGGTTTCTTGTTCCTCCTATATAACTAGTACGTAAAGGATTCTGAAAGTAAATTGCCTTTTCCCGAGCTTAAAAGGACTTTCCCATTGATCTTTAAGGTGAAAAAACATTCCCTATTCGATTAGCCAAATTCACTACTATAAATTCTCTATCTTCACATGGATTCGGATATTCTAGGGAAGAACAGAACTCCTGTAATTAACATTATAAATAATGTAAAATTAAAGCACTTCTGTAATCGTTCATCGCCTCAGAAATTATATATATGGACTTCATTATCACCCTTAAATTGTTTTGATCACATGGCATTAAGAATGTCAAACCTAATTCTGGGAGTCAACTTCATTCCACTGTTGTGCTTTGCAAACCGGACATTGATTCGGACAACAGTAATTGAAACGCCGACTCGTTAGAATTGCCACCGGTAGTTGAAGATAGATGGGAAAGGTGTGTAGTCCTGGCCTTCGGGCATCCATCTTTGGATAAAAGGGTGGTGGATTGGAATCCGATTGTTTGCAGGGACCTTCTTCGAATGGCAAGAACATTGGTCCATTCATGAAGAATATCCTAGTTACTACTATAAAGCCGTGGCAAAAGTTCCAAAGTTCAAGCTTCAAGGACGGCAATTTTGACGTAGATGAATTTCATTACACCTGTTTTTGTATTTGCTGCCTAATAGCATTTTGGTAATAATAAGGAATATATATCTGTATGATTTCATTCTCTTCATCATATGCTGTATGACCTGGTAAACAAAGTGCATCCATGCTTAATGGCCTAGGTTCAAAACTCCGTTGTAATCTATTTAATCTGTCACCTTGATGTCTTGAACTTCTTTAAAATAGTAGTACTATCATAATTCATGTTGTTTTGTAAACTAGTGTATGAGGTTTATTTTCCCTAATACAGTACGTAATAGAGTTGAGTCAAAAGCCAAAAGCCAAAAATAACCCCAGCTAATTCCATTCTTTCTATCTGATGTTGAAAAATTTGGTAAGTGGTGTTATCCAAATCCAATTAGGTTAAGGAATATTTTATGTTACTATTATTTTTATTTTTATTTTTTTGTTTTAGATGAACTATCCTAGGTACTCATGGATTCATATTTTAGGCAACCCAATGAAAATTATAAATATGTGCCAAGAGAGAACTGAAATCGTTTGAAGGCGATATAGAGAAACAGAGAGATGGATGGTAGATGGTATTATTCCAGGAGAGAAATCGAAGAAAATTCTCCATCAAGAAGAGACGGAATAAGTTTGAAGAAAGAAACGTTCTTCCGCAAGTCATATTGTACGTTCTTGCGAGATCTCGGAATCAGGCTTAAAGTCCCTCAATTAACGATCGCGACGTCGACTATATTCTGTCATCGGTTCTTCCTCCGACAATCACATTCAAAGCACGACCGAATGACCATAGCCACAGCTTGCATGTTTCTTGCAGCAAAGGTTGAAGAAACTCCTCGCGCTTTAAGGGATGTTATACTCGTCTCATACGAAATCCTTCATAATAAGGATCCGGAAGCAATGAAGAGGATTAAGCAAGTTGAAGCAGTTTATAAAGAGGAAAAAGAGAAGCTTTTGGTTAGCGAGACATTGGTTATGGCAACTCTTGGATTTGATCTTCATGTGAGGCATCCATATAAATACCTTGTGGAAGGAATGAAGAAATTGAAGATTTCTCGGAATGAGTTTGCTCAGGTTGCTTGGAATTTAGTCAGCGACGGGCTTCATACTTCTTTATACTTACAATTTGAGCCCCGATTCATTGCGGCAGCTTCCATTTATCTTGCTGCTAGGTTCCTCAAAGTGGATTTCCCGTCTCATTGGTGGAAGGATTTCGATGTGAGTCCAGCCCAATTGGAGGAGATTAGCGATCAGATGATGGAACTTTATGAGCAGAATTCTGGGCAAATACCGCAATCTTCTCAGGCCAGTGAAGCAGAATGCAGCAGTACCGCCGTACGAACTCCGCCACGGCTTCCTTCAAGAGGTCCTGGTAATACTAATGAAGAACGTTACAAGGATGATGAAAGAGGATTGGGAAATGGAGTTGAATTTGGTGCTGAGTATGATGAAAAGAGAGAGGCTGAAAGAGAAGAAAGCTGGTCCAAAACTACTTCAAACATGCAACCAATTTGATAATGAGAAAGGAGTAACCAATCTCCAAAGTTGAATACTCGCAAGCGTATCAGTTGTAGTAGTAGTCCAATTGACAAGTTGTTGTAATGTCTTAGGGTCTTAGCCATTTTCCTCCTTTGTATAACATGAACAAGCAAAACAACGCCTGAGACTTTTTTATATTCATATACACAAAAATTCCGGCCCTTCCTAATTTGATAAAGTTTCCGGAAATTAATATATTAATGTATCTTGAGTCGTACTACTTAAACAATCTCTTTATATTGAAATACAGGAGTAACTAATATTAATTCAACAAAAATACAAAAAATTCCTCCGTCCCGAAATTATTGTGCAGTATAAATTTTTATTTTTAATTCAATTTGTACTAAAAATGAAAATCGAAACTGAAAATCATTTTGGGAACAAATGTCTTTACAAGCAGAAGGGAATCAAATTTTTCTTGCCTCTTCAGAAGTTCGAAAGGAATAGTTGCTTCATCTATCTGTATAGATGGAGATGAATCCACCATACACTTCATGTCTTCGATGTCGGCCGGATTCGGATCCGTAATGTACCAAATTAAGAATATTCAATTGGGGGAGACCTCCAAGTTCATTGTTCAAAAACTAAACCCAGAAAACCTTGTTATAATTCCATCACCATAAACTTATCAACCACAAAAAAAAAAAAAATGTCCCTCTACACATTAGTTATATGGCAACCTTGATTAAATCAGCGATACTTTTTCTCTAGATAAAATCATGCTTTTCTTTAACCATTCCTGACTTAATGACTTATTTGGGCGCGGCGGAGTTAGGGAGACCAGCAGCGATAGTCGCCCCCTCTTAAAGAGTGCTTTTAAATTTTAATCTAAATAATTTTTTTTATTTTTTATATTTTCACCCATACAAATTAAAATTTTGATCATTTCATCCTTCCATTCAAAAAAATCCTAGATCCCCACTGTGTGGGTGGTGTAGGCACAACATACGATGAACGGTGTGGTTACATGTTGTATGCCCCGTTGACGCTGAAGCTTTGAGTATTATCCAGACTTTAATGTGTGTGTGCGAAGACGAGAGAACATGCACAGTTTGGTTATATTTGCAATTGGGCACTTTAAGTAAATCTTTAGAAGTTGACTTTTCTATCTCCACTTATCTGGCAAAGAACAAGCTCTATAATCACCAATTATTAACATGGTGTTCCATTGTTTAATTATTACTTACTCCGTCCCAAAAAAAAATAGTCCACATTGAGTTTTAAAATTTGTACTAAAAACTGTACAAAACTCAAAACTCAAATGTAAACTATTTTTGTGGGATGGAGTGAGTATTTATTTTAATCCCCATAACAATACCTTCTGCCCTGGATATGCATTATATGAACCAATTATCAAATCACGTGGGAGATTTTATTACTTTATTATAATTTAGTTTTAGTTTAATTATCCAGTTGCAACAGGCCACCACAAATTAATTAGTGATTACTTTACAAGTACAAGTCAACTCTTCTTCTTTTAAGTAACTAATATTAATTAACACTAATTTCCTTGTCAGGAGAAGCATTATATATGACAGTTGCCATTGACCGATCAATATACCTTTTTTCTTTAGAGAGAAAGAGGAAGAAATAATGCGTGGTTGAAACTTGAAAAATAACATCCGACACCTATTGATTTATTACTAAAGTTGTTTGTGATAGGAGGTAGGAGATGATTCTAACTTCCAAAGGATTTCCATGACAACCGCACGTCGTCTATCTGATGCAGTCACATAATAACAGTTCAAATTTGAGACTTTTAAATTTGGAATTAAATTATCAAAGGTTAGATCGATTTTTCAATGCCTATGAAACTAACCCCTAAATCCTGATAACCCAATGCTAATTACAAACAAAACCATGTTATCCGTATTTCCTCTACCCAAAAAAATCGCCCACATTAAAGTTTGACATTTGTGGATGATTTTTTTTTTTTTTTTTTTTTGTTGGAACATAAGTAATATTCATTTTAGTTCAACGATGTACGTTATTTAAGCGGGACGAAAGAAGCATTCAAAAAACACGCAACTCGACATTATAAAAAGAAGGGCAAACCAGCAAGAGCTCACATGAATGGTGGAAAGTCAACCATGTTTCACCAATACTCCAAATAAGAGATTAAAATTCTGTACAGCCTGTGCTACCTCGATAAAACAGCTATGAATTACATCCCAGAAACCAAATGACTAATTTGTTAATTGGTTTACTTGATGGGGTTTGTTATGCGAGACTACTAGTTAATTCTATTTTTCCATTGACATGAAATGTCGGATCTCAATTCATAGTTTTATTCTATTATCTTATTTCAACTCTCTTTAATTAATTAGTGCCACGCAGAGGCTAATAATCAACTCTAATCTTATGTATATATTTGGTGGAGAAAAGAATGAAAAGAATACAAATACGAATCAAAAGTTCATCTTTCATGAATCAAGAAGGTTCATGACAAAGTGTAGAAATGCGCCCAATGTTTCAGGCTGTTTTATGTTTGCTACTGGTTAGTAGTTTCACAGTTAGCACTTCCGGAAAAAAATCTGCAACAAAAAAGTCCAAGGTAAAAAGAAAATGCACTTTGAAATCTTGATTTGTGTGGCATTTTCAGTTTCAGATGAGACATTTCAAGTTTAAAAATATGTATATGTACTACTTGGCAGCCAAATGCAGAAGGGAACATCATACTGAATCCCAATTTCGACGATGGCCTCAACAATTGGACTGGAAAAGGATGCGAAATTATGCTACATGACTCAATGGATGACGGCAAAATCATCCCAAAAGTTGGGAAGTTCTTCGTCTCGACGATCGGAAGGACTGATACGGGACACGGGATACAGCAGGAGTTGACCGGGAGGGTACAGAGGAAGCTGGCGTACGAGGTTAACGCTCTGGTCCGAATATATGGTAACAATGTGAAAGAGGCTACTGTTCAAGTCACTTTGTGGCTTCAGGCTGCAGATCTTACTGAACAGTACATAGGTGTTGCAAGGTAACTAATTTGTATACTTTACTTAGATAGTTGTGTTATTTTTGTTTCTTACGACGATTTGACAAAGTAGATTATTTTTTTAGGACGAAGTGATTTGCATTATCTTTATTGCAACAATCTGTGTCCTGTGTTTAATACCCTGCTAATAACAGAGTTTACATTTTTTCTATCTTAACTTTTGTAATTTTTTCCCTCATGAAAAACTAACATAAAACAACCACCAGCGTGAGTGCTAACGACTCGGATTGGGCACAAATGCAAGGAAAGTTTCTGATCAATGGTTTCCCATCAAGACTAGTAATCTTTCTTGAAGGTCCGCTACCGGGCACTGAGATTCTGCTGAATAGCTTAACGGTCAAACATGCTGCTAAAACACCTAGTTCAACTAATCCACCCTCATTTCAGGTGATTCGATTTTGACTGTTAATGTTTTAAGATTCTTTCATTTAGTTTGTACAACCAAACATGATGTTTGATCCCTCTCTTTTGTTTATTTCAGGTATCAGATTATGGGGTTAATGTAGTTACAAATAGTAACCTTAATAATGGTACATATGGTTGGTTTCCAATTGGCTGCACACTTGGTGTTGGAAATGGCTCACCAGTTATAGTTCCTCCAATGGCTGAACAATCCCTTAGACCTCGTAATCCTCAGCCTTTGAGTGGCCGTTACATTATCGCGACAAATCGTACACAAACATGGATGGGTCCTGCTCAGGTGATCACAGGCAAGATCAAACTATACATGACATATCAAGTCTCTGCTTGGATCCGAATTGGCCCTAGATCTGCACCGGTACCACAGCTAGTAAACGCCGTTGTTTTGGTCGATGGTCAGTGGTTTAATGGAGGATACCTCGATATTAAGGATGCTGATACATGGCATGAAATCGGGGGATCTTTTAGAATCGAAAAAGAACCTTCAAATGTGATGTTTTATGTTCAGGGTCCTGATGCAGGTGTAGATCTAATGGTTGCTGGACTACAGATATTTGGAGTTAACAGGCGTGCAAGGTTTAGCTTCTTAAAAGAACAAACCGATAAGGTAAACTTGATTCTTTCGTTTCCCTTTGTTAGACATTTGTACCACATCAGTTACCGTCCCATTTTAATAGTCCACTATTTTTACTTGGCCATCTACGCAGGTTAGAAAACGCGACGTGATCTTGAAAGTAACAGGATCGAATCCAGGGGCGAAGATCAAAGTTAAACAGATACAAAACAGCTATCCATTTGGAGCAGCCGTGAGGAGAAGCAGCATTGACAACGAAGAATTTGTAGCATTCTTTTTAAAGTATTTCACCTGGGCTGTCTTCGAGAACGAAATAAAATGGTTCTACACAGAACCTCAACCAGGAAAACTAAACTACAAAGACGCCGACGAACTCCTCAGCTTTTGCACCATCCACAACATTCAAATCCGCGGGCACTGCATCTTCTGGGAAGATCCGAATTCACTCCAATATTGGGTTCGCGAATTGAGCAACAACGACTTAATGTCCGCTGTTCAGAACCGCCTAACAGGGCTCGTCACGCGGTACAAAGGGAAATTCCAGCATTACGATGTGAACAACGAGATGTTACATGGTTCGTTTTTCAAAGATCGATTAGGCAACAGCATCCGTGGACTCATGTATAAAGAAACAAATCAATTAGACCCGTTTCCAGCCCTGTTTGTGAATGATTTCCATATTGAAGACGGAGGCGATTACTTAGCATCCCCCGAAAAGTACATAGATCTCATTCTTGATCTTCAAAAACAGGGCGCCCCGGTTGATGGAATTGGACTTCAGGGACACATTGATTATCCAGTGGGATCAATTTTTCGTTCTGCATTGAACAAACTTGCGATTCTGGGGCTTCCAATTTGGATAACAGAACTCGACGTTTCTTCGGAAAATGAGTACATCAGAGCTGAAGATTTGGAAGTCATGTTGAGGGAAGCTTTTGCTCATCCAGCTGTGGATGGAATTTTGCTGTGGGGTTTCTGGGAATTGCTCATGAGCAGACCAAATGCGTATTTGGTCTACGCTGAGGGTGGTTTGAATGCAGCTGGTAGAACATTTGTTGCTCTGAGGGAGGAATGGTTGACCAATGCTAATGGCAAGATCGATGGAAATGGTCAATTTTCCTTTAGAGGATATCAGGGATCATACCAGCTTGAGATTTCTAGTGGTAAAAGAAAGATTACTAAGAATTTTACTGTTGAAAAGGGCCAAGATCCATTGGTCATAACCGTAGCTATATAGTTTTTAGAATTTTTCATGTTTATTTTATACTAAATTCTCTAATTAAGCCCTCTCAATAATGAATTTTTACAAAGTTTTTTCCCCCTCCTTTTTAGTTTTAGTTTTAGTTCCAGAAATGGACAAAACGCACTTTTGATCCCTCAGGTTTGGGAGTAGCAAACTCGAGTCACTATTAATTTTTAATTATAAAAATAGTCCCCTAAAATATTTTTTTCATCAATTTTGATTAATTTAACAGAATTTTTCCACACTTAACGGGATGTGTCTTCTTTCCGTTAATTTTAAATTTTTTTAATCTTTTTTCCTAATTGTGAGCCCCACAAACTTTGACCTAATATTTTTTTTTATTTTCTGAATAAAAAAGAAAACAAAAGGAAAAGGAGGATATTGTTTTGACCTACTCCTTCTCGTGAGCTAAAATCTCAATCAGCCAAGAAATATTCTCCAATCTAGTGTTCCTTTCTTCTTAATTAACTTGTTGCGTTATGCAAGCTTACCCAACTTCTCCTTCTCCTTATCGCTTTAAATTTTAGTATTTAAAGCGATAAGGAGAAGCCAAAAAAATATTAAAAATATTTTAATATCTTTAATTGTGGGGATCACAATTAGGAAGAAAATATTAAAAAAATAAAAAATTAACGGAGAGAAGACACATTCCGTTAAGTGTGAAAAAATTCTGTTAAATTGACCAAAATTGATGAGAAAAATATTTTAGGGAATTATTTTTGCAAATTGAAAATTAATGATGACTCGAGATTGCTACCCCCTAAAGTTGGGGGACCAAAAGTACGTTTTGTCTTTCAGAAATTGTATAAACTTTAGAGATTTGTGTAAATTATGGTGGCGAACTAGCATTTTTCTAAAAGTGTAAATGAAAAAGAAAAAACAAAACAAAGTAGTACATTTTCTTTCAGTGCTGTTTTAAGTATGCATTTAGTAGTAGATAATAATACTGTAGATGTGATTAAAATCGGCACGAAACATAAATATGTACGCAATTTTCAGAAAGAAATCGTGGATAGAAAATCTCATTTCAAGATGTTGCTTTAATAGGCTTTCTGAACCCATCAGACCCCGGATATCATGGACAAATCATAATGGGTCAGTTCGGCTCCTTGAAATGGGGACATGTCATGCCCCTGAACTCCATTGTAAGAAATTGAAATTTCAGGGACTTTGAAAATATGCAGAATAGGTCATATGGGTCTGTAATAGAATTATTAGAATTATTGCGCCTAAACTGAAATTTCAGTTTCTTCCTTCTTCTTCGATCTCCATTTTCCCGAAACCCTAAACCGCTCTGAAATTCCCCGTTTCTACTGTTCCGGCCACCTCTCCGGCCCCCGGTTGTGACATTTGGTATCAGAGCCGGTCGATTCTCGGCCGTCTCTATATCGGATTCATTCTGTTCATTCTCTTCTTCCCATTCTTTTCTTAACGCTCTGAAATCTGTTTTCTTCCTTCCTCTAATTCTGAAATCTGTGCGAAGTTTTACGACTTCTCCGATTCGCACCAATTTTATGTTTCTGTTCGATTCTTTACTCGATGGAATTCATACTCCCAGAATTTTATAAAGTCGAAGCCCTATTAAATCTTCCACCCTCCGAAATCCTTCCACCAGATCCGACGCCATATGGTCTCCCGAAGCCATCGTCGACGGGAATACCCATATTTGCCGGCGAAGATGTGACTGAATGGTTGGAAACGATGGAGCAATTCTTCCATTATAAATTCATATCTCCAAAAATGAAATTGTTCTCGGCCAAATTCTACTTAGCCGGCGAACCCTTGCGGTTTCTATACGGCTTGTTCTCTGCTTCCCTATTGTCCACTTGGGATGATTTCGCCGAAAAATTAGAGCTCAGATTTGGGAATCGCGTCCGGCCAACCTTGAGGATTAATGTTTGGGAGGCTAACGATCCTGAGCCATAACAGGTCGACGAGTCAGTCAAGGTGAATGAAGAATTTGATGGTGATATGGTCCTGGAAACTGAGGCTACGTCATCAGAGGAAGAAATGGAGTCGGCTACTGACAGCTCCACAGAGACCTTTGGCGAGAATGGTAATCCCTTGTTCCAAAATGATGAAACTGAGTTAAGTGTTGATGATGCTTTAATGATAGATGCTTCACTGTCTGTTGACGATTCAAGTAGTGTTGTGAATGAACCGGCCTGTGTGTGTGAATTTGTTGAAATGGAAAACACTACTATGATAGTGAATGATGATGTGGATGATGATTCGATAACTGAGTCTATGGTCTTGAGTGAAATTTATGATGCACCTATGAAAATTTCTTATGCCTCGGTTAAAAATGATGCTGGTTTATTTACGAAACTGAACTGTAATGCATTAAGTTTGGATGGCTTAACCATTATCAAGAGCTCATATAATGCTGTCAAGAGCTAGAAACTTGTTAATTACCCTGTGCTTGATGAATTGTCATTTCATGTTGATCCGGGAGGGTTAAAGTCTCATACTGATGCTAAATTGTTACAAGAGAATGATAAAAATAGAGATTTGGCTGAAGATAATATTCTCTGTGTTCAGTCGGTTAATGCTTTTGGGAATTGCGATGAAAAGGGTGAATATGTGCTTTCCTATGATTTTGGGAACTCATTTCATGTTGATCCGGGGGGATTAGAAAATCCTGATTATCATGTTAGTTATGGTGTTGAATTACTTATTGGTCTAAATCATTCCCAGAATGTAAAATTTTGTCCTAGCTCGTTCCACGTTGATCCTGGTGGACTAGAACGTGCTATAGTGGATTATGAACTGTTGTTAGATGAATTGAGTAGTTTGTCAGGCTCACTTATATGTGTTGATAATCATACTGTGTATATGCCTGTTATTGAGTTTGATTTTGCAAGTATGAATGAGAAGGAGGGTGAAGTTGTGTTAGTTAAGAGAAACTCGAATAGAGATGCATCTTTTGTTTCATCTTACTTCCTTGAGGACAAGAAAGCTTTTAAGGGGAAGGGAATTAGCCATAATCTTCCGCCGAGTTTCAAGATTGAGAATATTATGCATAATTGTACCTTCAACTTCCTTCGGCTCGATTATAAATCTTTGGTTGAAATTCATGGCCTTGATAGCTTATTGGGTTGTTCTGTTTCAACAAGAAAGACAAGATGGGTAAGGAACTTAACAAGGATTGTTCATTTTACTGCTTCTTCTGATTTATCGGCTGTTTATTCTGGTTGCAACAATGTGGTGGTTAGTATCGATGGGGTAAATGATAATGATCTGAATGTTGCTGTTGTGATTGGTCTGGTGCGTAGAGAAATGTTGACTAGCTGGTTTGAGAATGAAAATGATATGAGTCAAAGCTTGTTAATCATTATAGGTCATCAATATTTGAGTGTACTGGGAATTCTTAAGGTCCTTGTATGGTTTCAATATGATCTTCAGTTTGGAAATGTGACTTATTCTGCGAAATTTGAAGAAAGGAGAATCTCTTTAAAAGCCAAGCTCTTTGGTATTGAATGGTGTGCGATTAGGTGTTACGGATTACCAAAAAGCAGATTCAAGGAAGTTCTTATCATCTGGTGGTGTCCTAATACAAACGGAAAACTTATTTTTGTAGTCTCCGTGTTAGAAATGATTTATAACAGTTGGTCTTATGATTCTCTGAACTCCTTATCTTGTACGGCTGCTGAACTTTTTGAAGTTATTTCAGCTAAGGAGTTTGCTTCTAACATGAGTTTTATTGATATGGAACTTGCTGCTGATATGATCTCCTGGCATTGGGACTCAGATCGTTGGGTATTCAATGAAAATTCTTCGGATTTTATTCAGTCTGGGAGTTGTTCAATTGTGTGAAGTCAATTCCATAAACTACAAAAATCACAGAAAATAGTGAAACTTTTGGGAAATGGAATTGAGCTGCCAAGTTTTACTACAGGTTTGTTGAAAGCTTCAGTTTTTCTGGGTTCATTATATGATGTTAATGCCAGTCTACTTACGTTTTTGAACTCTTCTATTATTACAAATGTTGGATGCTTGTTTGTAATTGACCCAGGGATAGTAATACATGATTCCAGTGGTGATGATAATTCTTATGGAAATATAGCCGGTCAGAGATGATGTTTGTGTGAAACTAAACTGTAATTCACTGGATTTGGGTGGAGTATCTTTTGTTAAGATGTCATTAGATGTTGACAAGTACTGGAAATTCGTTGATAAACCTGTGTTTGATAAAAAGTCATTTTATATTGATCCTGGTGGAATGATTATATATTTAGTTTCCTTGGGTTTATTTGCTGCTGAATCTGGTGGATTATTTGTTGTTGGACAAGGTTTGGAAATGTGTGGAAGTATAACAGAGGATCACATTGGCAATGTTGGTTCCTGGTGTGGGGTTTTCAAAGGGGACACACATACTTTGGAAGAGCAGCTTGTTTCTGATTTGTGGAAATCTTTCGGCTGATGGAGTTTCTTTCATTCTGTGATGGCAACAGCACCAACATTGTTGCTGAATATCAGGAAATGGATGCTCAAAGTACACCCCCAGATGGAATGATTAATGTCTGGGATCCAGGAATATTCGTCATAGAATTAGAGTGCACTGGAATGGCCTTTAAAGCAATGATCAGGGAACAACCACGCTGGACTCGAGCTGCAACTGATTTGAAGGATGATTATTTATTTTTGGAAATGAAAGTTTTGGTTCTGACAGCAACGTTCCTTAGATGTGGGATGACTCTATATGAAGAAAAGATGAAACCTGTGATATTCATCAATGAATCAACTTTTGTCTGGATGATCGCTTGGTTCATCTGTCCATGGGAAGGCTCAAATGGCTGCTGTCCTTCAATTATGGGAAATGACAAGCAGTCGTCCAACTCTAATGTCCCACAGCTTCCATTTGTCTTCCTGTTTTGAGACCAAGTCCTTCAAGGATTTCTCTTGTTTTTTTTTTGGTTTCTCTGGTTGCTATCTTTTAATTGTTGTGAATTTTTATTTTGTTTCAGACTGGAAGAAGTAGAATTTTCCTGAGATCACAGTCTTGGGGACAAGACTGTTTTTAAGGGGAAGGGCTTGTCATGTCCCTGAACTCTATTGTAAGAAATAGAAACTTCAGGGACTAAAATGTAATTTTCAAAAATAGGCAGAATATAAATAGGTCATATGGGTCTGTAATAGAATTATCAGAATTATTGTGCCTAAACTGAATTTTTCAGTTTCTTCTTTCTTCTTTGATCTCTACTTTCCCGAACCCTAAACCCGTATGAAATTCCCCTTTTCTGTCGTTCCGGCCACCTCTCCGGCCCCCGGTCGTGACAGGACATTATTAAGCCCAATCCGAATCCTAATGTTGCGACCAAAAATTAGAGTGGAATTCTCCAAAGGAATACGGCGTCCGTGCCAATATTTATTTATATCGTGTAACTATATTTTTTCTTTTGGATACAATGAAGGAGACGAATCCCCTAATATTATACTATTATATTTCGTTGGTACGAAATACTAAGAATATCATAATCTAACCATGTTTATAAACCCGTAGGTGGCTCATCAAGCCAACAAAGTCCTCCAGAACTGGCAAGTGAATCTGCTGTAGAATTCGCCTCTTTAACATGTGCTTGACTTCAACACTCTAGTCCTTCTTTAATAAGTCTTGTATCGCCAAAACAAGTCTCGATGTATGCCAAGCACCTACTCTTCCCCAGTCACTATAGTCACTGCACTGATAACTGTATGATGAGAAATAAATTCATGAAAGAAGATAAAATCATAAATTGTATTGTGTGCTGCAGTACATTACATTGCCTCTATTTATAAGCATACATCAACATTAGTTAAGATCTAGATATTATAAAATCTGAAATAATCTAAACAAATAGAATCTAAATAATCCTAACTAATGAGATCTTTGACTAATCTTATCAACCCCCCGCAAAGCTCATGGGCGGAACAACAATGAGCTTGTCCCGAAGTGGAAGAAAAGTCTTCGTAAGCAGAGCTTTGGTCATAATATCAGCAATTTGGGCAGCGGATGGAACATGCTAAATAGTAAGAGCTTTTTGACGAACCAAATCACAAACAAAGTGAATGTTAATCTCAATATGCTTGGTGCGTGCATGAGATACTGGATCAGCAACAAGGTAAATAGCTCCTAAATTATCACACCAAAGAGTAGGAGGTAATGAAGACAAACCAAGCTCACGGAGGAGAGAAGAAAGCCAACATAATTCAGCTGCAGCAAGAGCAAGACTGCGATACTCAGTTTCGGTACTTGAACGAGCAACAGTCGGTTGTTTCTTAGCACTCCAAGAGATGAGATTAGAACCCAAAAAAATGCAATAGCCGGAAGTGGAGCGCGGTCATCAGGGCAACCAGCCCAATCAGCATCAGCAAAAGCAGTAATTGAAAGAGGGGAACTCTTTGTAAGATGTAGGCCATGGGTAGGGGTAGAACGTAGGTAACGAAGTATACGCTTAACAGCAGACCAATGAATATCAGTGGGACAATGGAGGAATTGAGACACTTTATTAACAGCAAATTGGATATCAGGACGAGTGACACAAAGATATTGAAGGGCACCAACAGTATGCCGATACTCTGTAGGGTCAGATAAAGGTACACCATGATTTTTAGAGAGAGGTAAGGTGGGGGTTATGGGGGTAGGGACGGGTTTGGATGTTTTGAAGTGAGTGCGAGTGAGGAGATCTTGAATATACTTAGATTGAGAAAGAAGAAGGCCGGCGGATGTAGATTGAGCTTCAATACCTAGAAAATAATGAAGAGAACCAAGATCTTTGATGGTGAAGGTAGAATGAAGCTCATCAATGAGAGATTGAATGAAGGAAGAAGAGGAACCAGTCACCAAGATGTCATCCACATAAACTAGGACAAAAGTAGTGTGTGAGGACTTAGACAAGATAAAAAGAGAAGTGTCAGATTTAGAGGAAATAAAACCAAGAGTATGAAGTTTCTGACTAAGACGGTGAAACCAGCCTCTAGGAGCTTGTTTGAGACCATATAAAGCTTTGTGAAGACGACAAACATGATATGGATATTTTGGATCAACAAAGCCTGAGAGGTGACTCATATATACGTCCTCATGAAGATTACCATGGAGAAAGGCATTGTTCACATCAAGTTGACGGATTGGCCAATTTCAATTAAGAGCAATGGTAATGACAATGCGAATGGTAGTAGGTTTGATTACTGGGCTGAAAGTATTTGTGTAATCTATGCCAGGAGATTGAGGTAGCCTTTAGCTACTAAACGAGCTTTATAGCGCTCAAGAGTCCCATCGAATTTTTTTTTAGTTCGAAAAAACCACTTACAACCCACAATATTAGCATTAGGAGGAGGAGAAACTAGAGTCTAGGTTTGATTACGTTGAAGAGCATTAAACTCTTCAAGCATAGCTTGACGCCAGTGAGGAAATTTATTGGCCTGAGTAAAAGAGGTGGGGTCAGGTTCAGGAGGACAAGTAAGAGAGCATGTATAGGTAACATAATCATTTAAATGGTTAGGCTTACGAGTTGTGGTACGAGTGGTCATGTGATGTCTTGATGGTGGTGGAGGTGGTCTAGGCGAGAAACTAGATGGTGATGGAGGTGGTCTAGGCGGGGAATTAGATGGTGGTGGTGAAGAAAGCCTTGTTGAAGAAAGAGTTTGTGTCGTAGGATTGGAAAAAGGTACAAAAGGAGGAGGAATAGACCATTGGTAAAGGAAGCAACACTCGTGATGATGAAGGTGGAGAGGACGTAGAAGTTTGAGATGTAGCATAACGAAAATCAGTTTCAAGAAACCTTACATGTCGAGAGATGTAAAATTTGAAACTTTTGGGATCAAAGCAACGATATCCCTTGTGTTGGGAAGAGTAGCCTAAAAAGACACAAGGAATTGATTTTGGGGATAATTTGTCAGCACGAGTAGACCCAAGAAATGGGAAGCAAGTGCACTCAAATACTCGAAGGTGAGAGAGGGAGGGAGGATTGGAAAAAAGAACCTCAAGAGGAGTTTTATTAGTAAGAACTGGAGTAGGAAGGAGATTGATTAGATAGGTGGCAGTGGAAAAAGCTTCAACCCAAAAGGATTTGGGAAGAGAAGCATGAAGAAGAAGAGTAAGCCCGGTTTCAGTGATATAACGAATTTTTCTTTCAGAAACTCCATTTTGTTGAGGAGTATGGGGACAAGAGATGCGATAAGAAATACCATGATTACGAAGATAATAAGCAAAAACACCTTTCACAAGTTCGGGAGCACCATCACATTGAAAATATTTGATACTAGTAGGAAATAAATTTTCAGTAAATGACTTAAAATTTTGGAAAGCATGAAAGGCATCAGATTTATTAGTAAGTGGATAAATCCAAGTAAAACGACTAAAGTCATCGATAAAAATGATAAAGTACCGGTAACCTGAAAGAGAGAGAGACAAGGACTTGGACCCCAAATATCACAATGAATTAAATATAACGGCACTTTAGAAACACGAGAAGATGGAGTAAAAGGAATTCGAGTACTTTTGCATTGCAAACAGGAATTACAAGAATTTGTTTTGGAAGATTTAAATGACAAAGATCGAGCTAAAGATGAAAGAGTTAAGTGACACGGATGTCCGAGACGGTGATGCCAAAGATCGGGAGGAACTACATGAGCAGCCAGAGCTACAGGATTGTGGAATGTCTTAGGAATCTTCATAGGATAGAGGTAATTGTGGATCTTACCCGCGAGAAGCGGAGTCTTGGTGACTAGATCCTTCACAACATAACCAAAAGGAGAAAATTCCATTAAACATGAATTATCAGTGACAAATTTTTCAACAGATAAAAGGTTTGTAGTAAGCTGGGGAACCATGTAAACATTACGTAAATAAAGAGGATTTGGGTGCTTAGTGAGCGCAATGTGACCAATAGAAGTAATAGGAAGAGTAGTACCATTGCCAACAACCACTTGCTGATTACCATGATATGGAGTGGTAGAATCCACTAAAAGAGGATCAGGTGCCATATGAGCCTGGGCGCCAGAATCAGGAAGCCATTCAGGAATGTTACTAGATGTAAAGGATGAAAAGTCTTGAGGTTGGGGTTCTTGGACAGTGGAGGTGTGAAAAGCAGTGGGCATGTTTGTGGGAGCAGAAGAACGATGAGTTTGATTATTGCGAGATTCAGCGTAGCGACAAACAGCAGCGGAATGGTTGAATTTTTTACAGATTTGACATTGGGTAGGATTCGGTTGTTGGGTAAAGTTGGGGTAAGGGTTAAAGGATGAGGTATAAGGCTTATAGGGAGTAGAAGGATGGGTGGGAAATTGGGCTTGGTTTGGGCGATTTTGGATAGCGTTGAAGGGACGGTGTGGACCGTATGAATTGGGGTTGGGATAAAATGAGTACGAAGTTGAGTTATTAGGAAAATAGGGAGAGAGTTGACCACGACCACAGCCTGAATTGGGCTGTGACTGTTTACCACGAAACCGAGAACTATTGACTGGAAAGTTCACAGTAGTATGGAGTGCAACTTCTGGTGAAGGCAAAAATGATTGCAAACGTTTCTCATGGAGAAGTAGTTTTGCTCGAAGATCTGTGAATGAGGGAGGAGGGTTGAGATTCTCTATAGTGGTGATGAAGGAAGTATATTCAGATGAGAGACCATTAAGAGCGAGAATAACAAGATCATGATCAGGGATAATATCCCCAACAGCAGAAAGCTCTTCCGCCATAGTTGATAATGAAGTGAGAAAATCATTGACTATGAGAGAACCTTTCTTAAAATTGTGAATTTTTTGACGTAGTTGCGATCTACGCGCTGTAGATTGTTGAAGAAAATGATGCTCGAGTTTGATCCAAAGGTCACGAGCAGTAGGACACCTCAATGCCACCGATGCCATTGAAGAAGACAACGAGGCAGTGAGACAACATTTGACAAGGCGATCAAGTTTTTGCCATTGAAGAAATTCTTTTGGAATAGTAGAATCAGGTGAAGAATTTTTTGGTGGTAAAATTGAACCATCGATATAACCATTGAGATCAGTGGTAATTAAAATTCCTTCAACTTGATCTCTCCAAATTAGATAGTTGGAGTTATCAAGAGATACAGTGATAAAATTTGTGACATTGGAGAGAGGAAATGATTGAGTAGTAGTGAATGATTGTGAAATAGTCATTTTAAAACAATGGTGATTAGAGTACAAGAAAAGGAAAAAAAATAAAATAAAATAACGTGTAGTAGTATGTGAAATAGTGTGTGCAATAGTGATTTTTGGAGGTAATCAGTGGTGGGATAAGGTGAAAAAAAAAAATTTAGCGCATGATCGATTTTT